CAGCCTGGGCAACATAGCAAGACCTCATTTTTAAAATAAGCTGAGGCAGGAGTTCTGTTAAGCCCAGGAATTCAAGGCCCAGTGAACTATGATCACGTCCCTGCACTCCAGCCTGGGTGACAGAGTGAGAGACCTTGTCTCGAAAAAAATTTAAAATAAGTAAAATAAAAGCACATGCTTTGTACAGACAGACCTGATGGCCTCTCATTAGCTGGGACCTTTGGGTGAACCACTCAACCTCCTTAAACCTCCATTTCCTCAGTGATAACATAGAATGAAAATAGTAACTGCCTGGAGCTGTTTTGTGCCAATGAAATAAGATAACATAATAATACACTTAAGACATTTAGTACACGGCCTGGCACATACTAAGCCTTTGTGAATGTAAACAGTGTAATCATGGTGGAGATCTTGTTGCTGAGAGAGCTTATACTAAATAAAGAAATTAATATACTTAAGATAGTCAAAGAAATCAGCTGGGTAAAGGAGCTTCCCTACTTAATTCAAAATATTTTGCTGGCTGGGGTGAAAGAGAAAGTTAAGGAATCAAAGTATAAAACAGGATTTCAAATGTTTCCACGACCTTATTAGCAATCAAGATGTTCCTTGGAAGCCTCTAAGACTCCCTCCACTCCAGAATTTGGGAAACTGATGAAAAAAAGTGTTGAATCTTTGACTGTAAAACGCATTTAGCTCTTGTTTCCTCTTACCTTCGCTGTGATTTTAGTGCTACTGTCTTGGCTGTGTGATGACAGACCATCCTGTTGTCTTGGTGAATTATATCACATTGAATCGATGGAGTGTTTTAATATTTCATGAGCCAATGGGTATGAGATGATTAAAATACAGCATAGGATTTAATGAAGCTACTCACTTGTTAACCCTAAGTTTTAAATCTGAATTGCTGCGGACATACCTGGCGAGTGTTTCCCTGGTTCAAGGAATCAGATACTCTTAACCAAAGGAAATCACCATCAGGGTACAGTCCTTAAAACCTAGGATTTGGATTCTAAGAATGTGCATGTAAGACCTGCCAGTGCTCTACTCCAGGCTAACTGGGTTTCAACTTCTTCATCCCTGGAAAGATTATAATAATAATGATAATCACCTCATAAAATGTCTGTGAGGATCAAATGCAATGCATAAAATGTTCTTTGTCAACTGTAAAGTAGTATACAAATACGATCTACTTGTTAGTTTATTTTTAATTCCTGATGGTGGAAAGAACATAGACTAACCGTCCAGAGATGCAGGTTCGGATCATGGCTCAACCCCTTTCTGGACGTGTGACCTTAAGCAAGTAACTTAGTCTCCTACAGTTTCATCATCTGGGAAACATTCTAGGATTAGGAATCTTTCAGAGGAAACATGTTAGTTTGGACAGCAAAGGATGGAAAAAGCAGTCCTCTCCAAATGGCGATGGGAGACTGGGCCTTGCTCCTACCTGGCTTGGCCAGAGATATGCTTCTGGGACATTAAGGAAGAAGACTGGAAGTCACAAAGCATGCCTGCTGATTCCTGGGATGTGACAAGAGCACGCAGATCTGGTGGTGAGCAGTAATATGAGATAGATGCACATCAGCACTGACCTAGATGTATGACCCACAAAAAAATATAGTGCCAGTACTGAAGCCAATCTTCATGCATTCCACCAGAGTCATGGTCCCATGAATAGCAGCATGGTCAGCTATGACATCCAAGACTACAAGAGCAACTGATTGGTCTCGATGACATATTTGTGTGCTGCCTACACACATGCATGATGTAAAAACATCGATTCTTGGGACCGAGAGAAACAGAACAAGGGGTCAGACAGACCCAGGAAGCTCTTAGGAAGACATGCAGGGATCTGAGGGGACATGACAAGAATGGTGGGAGTAACTGGCTTGAGATCCTGTCCCTGGAATCCCTGTACTTGGGTCCATTTTATCCACAAGTCTGTCTCCGTGTGTTGACACTCAAATCCAAGCAGTTTTCAGGAGTCCTACAAAATCTCAAATAAGCTCAATCAAAATAAGAATCACAGGCATCTTCCAAAGAAGGACTAAAGTCTTGAAAAGACATGATGTTGGAGGAAAAGGAATGGATTGAAAAGGAGGACCTCATAGGCCCAGGAACAGCAGCCATGTGGTGAATGTGTTCTCCAGGATGGACAGCCTGACAAGGTCGGAATGGGAGAGTGGATGGATGCCCAGAAAAGGCCCCAAGAGCATCTGTTTTACTGATCACCTGGTCCATATCAAGTAGAATTAGGCAGAGACAATCCCTCCAGGTAGATTTGGATCCCCACCAATCTGGACTCCTCAGTTTCTTCTTCCCCTAGCCAGGGCAAAAAACAGTCACTGCCAAAGTTCTCCCCAAGCTGCTTCTTCTCAACACGTCTGGTGTGGTTCATATAAAGACCTCACTCGCTGACCCAAAGGGTTGGCTCTTAGATCTGACAGCCATACCTTTTCAGCTTTTTCTTGTAGCTGTTTAACTGCTGGCAATGCACTTAGGCTCTTGAGGCCTCATTCTACTCAGCTTTAACCTGGAAATAGTATTAGCGCCATCCTCACACAGCTGTTGTGAGGAATAAGAGATAATGAAGCTGAAGCTCTTAGAACAGTGCTGGCACACGGACAGGGCTCAATGAATCATGGCTCCTGTCAATGCTCTCCTAGCAGTAAAGTCGGAGGAAATTGTAGCCCTGCATAATGAGTAAGGAAACAGGGATGTTATCGGTTCATGTAACTGAAAAGTTTCAAGCAGGTCTGGCTTCAGGTACAGCTTGGTTCAGGGTCTCAGTGGTGTTGCCAGGATCCAGTTTCTCTCTCCATCCCTCAGCCTCGCTTCCTCTGTATTGGCTTCATTCTCGGACAGGCTGCCCCTCCCAAGGAAACCAGATGGCATCAGCAACAGCAGAACATGCGTCTTTATAGTCTCGGTGAAGTAGAAGAGAGTGCCTGTCCATTCTCCCATAAGCCCCATAAAAGTCCCACCACACCTCATTGACTCTGGCTGGGTCACAGCACGTTCCCTGAGCCAGCCACTAAAACTGGACCATGTGATGCATAGATTGCCCCAGTCCACCTCTGGAACTGGGGCAGGGTCAGTGCTACCTCTAAACCTCACAGATTAAAAAGGCAGGGAGTATGGCCTCTCAGAAGGATGTTGGCATTACCAGGAGGAGAGCACATGGCTGCTGAGTGGAAAACTACAGGTGAATCCACAGCACCACATTCGCCATCCAACTCAAGGAGCAAAGGATTTATTTCTCTCAGTTACTGGCTGACTAACGGGGAGGTGTCTCCAACTACCACAGGTCTGTCATTGGCACACATAGGCCTCAAGGAACGCTATGTAATCATCCCTAAGTGTTAACAGAACAGTCTAGCTGAAGAACTATCTGGATGCTAAGTTATCAACCAGAATTCAGTGACCTTCAGTAACATTAATAAATCTGTCAATTACCAAAAATCAGTACAACAACGAATTGGACTCAGCTGAGGCTATTTCCTATCATTGTCATGGAAAATTGTAGGAAAATACACATTCCTTAAGAATGGAGTAAACTGGCCATTGCCTTGCTAAGCTATTGGTGGCTATATACTCTTTGAGCTGTGGCCAGGCCATGTTTCCTGGCTTTGGCCGCCTCTCCTACCTTGGGGAGGTGAATCTCCTCTCTCTCTCTCTCTTCCTTTCTAATTTCATTTTTAAAGTAAACTATATTTTCTAATCTAAAAAATAAATAAATAAAGAATGGAGTAAACTTCCTCATCCTCTTCCCAGGCCCCTTCCCTTTGTCTGTATTTTGTGGTAGACACAACCCCTCCCCACAAGCCACCTGGTGCTGTTTCTGGTATCTGCTGGCTGCTACTAAGTCCATTGCAGTGCTGAGTACCCAGAACAGGCCCCAAGTGGGTGCTGGGTGCTTTACACATGTGCTCTCCTTACGCCTCATGTTTATCCCCAGGCATGGGGGAGGGTCCCGAGGCTCAGAGAGGGGTCAGGCTGCCTGACCAGCTGCCCACCTCATTGTCTGCGTCCTTGTCCACCCCCTGCCTAGTGCCCACACCTCACAGAAACCCTGGGAGGTAGTCCAGCCTTCTGTACTCCAGCTCAAGGCTATCCCTGGTTCCCTGCTTCCTGTGATTGTGTCACCTGCTGGGATCTCTGAACCCTTCTCCTAGGAGGTGTACAGCATTTCCACGGACCACTACATTTTCTTCCTCTTACTCAAACTCCCCTTTGATATTTATTTATTTATACTTTTTTAGAGATGAGGTCTCACTCTGTCACCCAGGCTGGAGTGCAGTGGCACTATCATAGTTCACTGCAGCCTCAAACTCCTGGGCTCAGCAGTCCTCCTGCCTCAGCCTCCACCAGCTGGGACTGTGCCACCATGCCCAGCTCACACTCCCCTTCAAAGCCTGTTTTCTAGGAGGCCTCTGCGCCAAGTTGGATTCATTCATTCCACAGATGCTCAGCACAGAACACTCTGAATCAGGCACGAGGCTGGGCTCTGGGTCTTTCAGGGAATGAATTTTCCTGTCTCTACCAAACCAACCACACAACAGAAACAATCCTCCCTCTGCATTTTCCTCAAAATAGCACCAAACCCTCCGATGAGGACGGCGTGAAACATCCTTCTGTCTACTCACGGGTCACCTTATGCCCAGGACCCCAGAGGTGGGGCTGAGATTTTTTTGTTTTTTTTGAGTTGGAGTCTCACTCTGTCGCCCAGACTGGAGTGCAGTGACATGCTCCCGGCTACCTCAGCCTTCCAAGTAGCTGGAACTACAGGTGCGCGCTACCACGCCCGGTTAATTTTTTTGATTTATTGTAGAGATGAGGTCTCGCCAAGTTGCCCAGGTGGGTCTCGAGCCTGCGGGCTCAGGCAATTTACTTATCTCGGCCTCCCAAAGCGCGGATTACAGGCTGAGCCACCGAGCCTTGCTGGGGCTGAGATTTTTAACCTCCTCCTGACTCTGAGTCCCCTCTTTGTGCCATGTTCGCAGGTGACTGCTGGCTGCTGGCAGCCATTGCTTCCCTCACCTTGAATGAAGAGATCCTGGCTCGAGTGGTCCCCCTAGACCAGAGCTTCCAGGAAAACTATGCCGGGATCTTCCACTTCCAGGTGACTTAATGGTTAACCCAAGCTGTCCCTCACAGGTCCCAGGTCTGGGCACAGTCTCCTGGCACGGCTGGGTCTATCCATCCCTGGTGGTGTTTGCAGAGTCTGAGGACCAGTGCTGTTCTACAAAGGACATTGGGAGATAGCAGGAAGCTCCCTGGCCTGCCTGTGGTCAGGACGTGGGACTCTGCCAGGATGACCATGGGGGGTGTTGTAGGTCATGCAAGGAGGGAGGGAGAGCAGGGTGTTCAAGCAGTAATTCCCTTTTTTATGAAGTTTGAGACAAAATGTTTAAGTTCTCCTTTTACATTGGTAAATGACAAACAGTGTTTTCTTTCTGATGAGTCAGGGTCTCACTCTGTCACCAAAGCTGGAGTGCAGTGGCACGATCACAATTCACTGCAGCCTCCACCTCCTGGGCTCAGGCAATCTTTCTACCTCAGTCTCCTGAGTAGCTGGGATTACAGGCATGTGCCACCATGCCAGGCTAATTTTTCGATTTATTGTAGAGAGGAGGTCTCACTATGTTGCCCAGGGTGGTCTCAAACTCCTGGACTCATGTGATCCTCCTGCCTCAGCTTCCCAGAGTGTTGAGATTACAGGCAATGAGCCACTGTGCCCAGTCGAGAAATAGTATTTTTAAAAGCCTGCAAAGCAGAATGCTAAAGAGGTGGGTGTGGATGTGGGGGTCGAACAGCATCACTGTCCTCACTCTTTTGGTGAAGACTTGTTTGCAGTAGGAGAATTACAGGAGCGTCTCCTCCTGGGTGGGCTCATGGAACCCATGCCAAGGGGTTAGGGCGTGGGGAGGGCTGGATTTGGCTAGCTCCGGGTCCCAGTGCTGCTACCTGCTCCTCCTCCAGCTCACCCCATGCCACCCCTCCCCATTGTCTTGCAGTTCTGGCAGTACGGCGAGTGGGTGGAGGTGGTGGTGGACGACAGGCTGCCCACCAAGGACGGGGAGCTGCTCTTTGTGCATTCGGCCGAGGGGAGCGAGTTCTGGAGTGCCCTGCTGGAGAAGGCATATGCCAAGTAAGTGGCCATGCCCCCTCCCGCCCCCATGACCTGTCCTTGTGCCCTGGCATCCAAAACACAATTCAAGGAACAATTCAAGGACTGCTTTCAGTAGAAGTCCTAATCCACAGAAGGATTTTTTGGCCAACACTGGGCTCTCAATTCCAGTCAATGCATGCAGGATGCCTGGTCACATCGTGCACTGATAAATAACAGCGATCACCATCTTTAACCAAACCCACTGGAGCACGTTATCGTTCTGATCATGCTGGGCTTAAGAAGGAGCTCTACTTTCTGGGCAGAACATGTTACATTTTTTATCAACTAAAAGGAGCAGAGCTTTTGCCAATGGGCAAAACTCTCCTTTGCAGAAGTAGGAAAATTGTGGACACCTGCCCAGAATACATGGAGTCGCTGATGGAAATGGTGTCTCCATCTCCTCCCAGCTGCTTCCTACCCAAGCTGCCCGCAGTCGGGCTTGTCCAGACTCAGGGCTGCTGCTCTCAGCGGAAAGCCCCATGCCAGTCCCTCTCTAGAGGGACTTCTTGGCTGTGCTGCAAGTAGATTTCTGTTCCTTACATCCTCCAGCCAGGAAGTAGGAGGGATCAGGATCCCACACTCAGCTGTGAGAACCTGAGGGGCCTGAGGGTGCTTCTAAGTCCCACTGCTCAGTAAGAGTTAGGGGAACTACCAGACTCCGGCTTCGGTTTACCCACACGGTGCCTGTTTCTCAGGGAAACTGCTTTTATTATTGAATTGTTGTCTTTTGTCAGGCTGTAAATGCCAAACAGCCAATTAGTAGACCTGCCCTTTCCTGTCAGGATGTAAAAGAATCAATATGGAGATTAGTCCAGATAATCACTAAAGTTCTTCCAACTCTAAGGTCCTATGAGATATCTAAAATCAAAGAGGGTCCCTTGGGCCGGGAGCAGGATGTGGGTGCATTTGAGAGATGAAAGTGTTTGCAGCCACAGCAGGTCAAGGGCAGCAGTAGCATCCAATCCCTCTTGTAGGATCAATGGATGTTATGAAGCGCTGTCGGGGGGTGCCACCACCGAGGGCTTCGAAGACTTCACCGGAGGCATCGCTGAGTGGTACGAGTTGAGGAAGGCCCCTCCCAACCTGTTCAAGATCATCCAGAAGGCTCTGCAAAAAGGCTCTCTCCTGGGTTGCTCCATCGACGTAAGTCCAGGCCACCCTCCCTCGCCCCCTGTGGGGGCACAGATACGCACCTCTGTCCTTGCTCTCTTGGTGAGGTCTTACCTGTATCAGGAGAGTTACAGGAGCATCTCCTCCCAGTGAGCTCACAAGACTAAGGGGCCAGGGCCGGGGGAGCTAGCTGTGGCTGAGCTTGGGCTCCTGGTGCTGCTACCAGCTCCTCCTCCAACTCACCCCATGCCACCCCGGCGGTGGGAGGGACACAGAGAGGGAAAGGCAAGGGGGAAAGAGGGATGGAGGAAGAGGGCGTCCCAAAAGTTCACCCCAGTCTGCTCTTGCCGAAGGGAGGCTCCCAAGGACACCCACAAGGATACCCAGGTACGATGTTAAAGCAACCCTTGGCCTTGTAGGGGACTAAGGAAAACTGCTCTTTGCCCTCTGAAGGTTTGCTGACAATCAACCGACAAAAGGCAAACTAATAAGAGAAAAGGTGTACAAATTTATTAGCGTGCATGGGGTGAATCAGAGTGATGACCCCACAGTGCAGGGGACACAGCTGGGTGTAGACCCTTCTTCTTATAGGGGAAGGGAGATGGGGAAGTGTGGATGATTTTAGGGGGATAGTAAATGATTTGGGGAGGGATTCAGTGAGCTTGAAGAACATACAACGGCCTGTTGGACCTGCAGAGCAGACACTGGTTCTTGACAAAAGTCTGTCCAGGTGTGTTGACAGACTTCAGTCTTTCTTCCTGCAATATGAGTTCCTTTAATGAAAACTCAGGGGAGGGACCAGAGGTAATAGTTCTCTATTGGGTCTGGACTTAAGCAGATAAGGAAACTTTTTTTTGTAATGGATGGGTGGTGGTGCTTCCAGCTCTTCCCTCCCCAGCCCATTTCCTACTCTCAACCTGTTATGAATCCCCACCCACCCACCACCTGTAGGGCTGTGCCACCTTCCCCTGCACTCTGTTCCAGGGCTGGTGGGCCTGTGGGAGCTTTCAGAAGGCACAGGAAGGAAGCATTTCATCATAATAGCCTTGCTGGCAAACTTTGCCAGGGGATTGGAGCTGGGCTCAATGTTCTGTCCCCAGCAGCCTTGGGGTAATGACTGTGTCCAACTCCTGGGCCCTTTCTAGTCCAGGATATTGGTTGGTCTCTGCGGGGGACAGAGATAAGAAGTCTTTGGCCCCAAGAGCCAAAATCTTTGTTAGATTCTCTAGGCAGAAACTGTCAAGCTTTCAGCCTACCATGTTGAAGCAGAAGACCCTTTCTACTCCCAGCCCTTCTTCCCGTTGACAACCTACTTAGGAATAGGTAGAGGAAAGGAGTAGCTTTGAGGAGTTCTTAATACAACAGAAGCAAATTCTGAACTCAGGTGGGAACAAAGAGCCTTCATAATATAAACCCTGCGGGAGACTGAGCCAGACCACGGAGCATGGGGGCCTCAGTGTATCTGGGCCACTCTGTGCTGTCTGGGTGTCAGTCCCCAACAATCCAGGCTCTCACTGGCTTCTCTCCGTGGGTATATCCTCTCCACCTTCCCAGCCTGCAGAAGTCTGTGAATGCAGCAGTCATGCGGGGGCACCCCCCTGGTGCAGGAAAGTGCAACTCTGCGCCTCCCCTCCAGGCCTGGCTCCTGCCCTGTGGGTCTAGCGGTGGAGGGGGCCGGTAGATGGGGCCAGGCCGTAGGACGTGAGCCAGGGAGGCAGGGATGGGGGATCAGGGAGGGGAAAGGCAAAGAGTGGGGAGGAAGGGAGGGAGGGACGGACGGGGAGGGTGCAGCAGGCCTGCTGACGGTTGCCATGTTCTAGATCACCAGCGCTGCGGACTCGGAGGCCATCACGTTCCAGAAGCTGGTGAAGGGTCACGCGTACTCGGTCACGGGAGCCGAGGAGGTAACGGCCGGCGCGGATGTGCGGGGGTCCTACTTCCCCTAACTCGGTGATCACAGGCTCACTTTGGCTGGTGATTCCCAGGGTGTTGCCCCGTGTCCTCATAGCCCCGTCTGCACTCAGGCCTGGAGTGCAGACCTGGCGTCGCAAAGTTGTCAGCACAGAAATGAAGAGCGGTTCCTTCCCGAGCCCGCGCCACGCTGCCCCCCGGTGGCCTAGTGACGGCTCCAGCAGCCCTGATTTTACTTGGTTTAAGAGTGACAGCCTAACTCTCTGGATCGGGAGCAACAATAAAACTACACTTTGCATCCTTATAGTGTTTTTTACTCTATAAGGTGCTTTCACATTTGGTCTCACAAACGCACATGTACTCATGTTCAAATCTAACTGCCACTTTTCAGCTGTGTGGCCTGGACAAGTTATTTGAACTCTTTGTCCTTTAGTTTCCTCGTTTTTACTTATGTGTTTATTTGTTTAGTTAGTTAATTATTTACTTTTTTTTTTTCTCACTCTGTGGCCCATGCTGGAGTGCAGTGGCACAATCAGCTCGCTGCAACCTCCATGGCTCACTGAGTTCTCCTGGGCTCAAGTGTTCCTCTCGCCTCAGCCGCCCAAATAGCTAGGACCACAAGCACACGCCCAATAATTTTTAAAGTTTTTTGTAGATATGGGGTTCTTGCTATGTTTCCCAGGTTGGTCTCAAACTCCTGACCTCAACTGATCCTCCTATCTCTGCCTCACAGAGCACTGGGATTACAGGTGTGAGTCACATCTGGCCAGTTTCTTCATTCTAAAAATGGAAATAATAATACCCATTGTAAGGCTGTGGTGATTTAATCAAGGGAATATATGGGAAGTACTCAGACTGTGAGCATTGTAGGTAAGCAGGTAGCTGTCCTTGTTGTTGATGTTACTATAAATATCATCAAGCAGCCTGAGTTCACTTGTAATTACAAAACCCAAACTAGACCTCCAGGTCTTCTGTATGTCCAGTGTTTTTGTCTTGTTATTTTTTAAAATCTTACTTTAAAAAAAAAACAAAAAAAAACTCCTCCCCTTCTCCCTCCCCCCAATTTTATTTTGAAAATTTTCAAGTCTACAGAAAAGTTGAAAGAATAGTACAATAACTCCCCAGACACTCTCCGAGATTCAACAATTGTTAACATTTTGCCACATCCACTTTGTGCGCACTTTTTGAGCCATTTGAATGTAAGTTGCAGACATCACAACACCTCACTCCTAAGTACTTCAGCATTTATCTCCTACAAATAAGAACATTCTCTTCTCCATAACCCCAGTACTACGGCCATTCCCAAGAAAATAAACATTAATTCAGTAACATCAATTAATGGTTCACGTTTACTTTTTCCCAACTGCCCAAATGTCCTTTCCAGCACTCCACCCAGGACTAAATCAGATTCACTTACTTCATTTGCTTATGATAAATCACTGAGTTCTTTCACCAAGTTGTAAAGCTTCTCTGAGCTCCTGTGACAAAAGCTTATTCCGGTCCAGTCAGTTAAGCTGAAGTTCAGAGGTAAATTACGTGCCCACACAAACCCTAGAACTAGTTAGTGTGTTTATGCTACAGGCTCAGGCAAAAGTTAACGAGCCCCATCCTCCAAATCCAAATTTAATTCCCACTTTCCAAAGCCGAGCTGTATTGAGGAGTCTGGAGATCAAGCTCTTTCCACTTTTTGTGGTTCTCCCTCATACATGGAATCAACCCCCCGCTGATTCCACATGGCTGATGCTGAAGGGGACTTTGGGCCTGAGTCCTTCCAGGCCTGGTTGAACTTCACTTCTCCCTCCTCCCTTTCCTCAATCCTGCAGGTTGAAAGTAACGGCAGCCTGCAGAAACTGATCCGCATCCGAAACCCCTGGGGTGAAGTGGAGTGGACGGGAAAGTGGAATGACAAGTGAGGAGGGTGCAGGTCACGGGCCTGGTAGGGACGGGAGAGTGGGTTCTGCTGGGAGGCCTTGGCAGAGCAGAGAGTGGAGAAGGCTCTATGCACTGTACTGGGAAATCAGACCCCGAGAGTGTAGGCCACCCGAGAGGAACCTGTGGAGAGGTGGTCCCGTGGCAAGGTCTTTTAACTACTTTCAGCAGTCTGGGGGCCTTTCTACAGCCCCAAAGCTGCCCCTGTGTTTATGCCTGTCACTACCGCCCCTAGCTCAAATTCACCTTTGTATTGGACCTTTGGGGGAAAAAATACAACCCCTCCCCCCCACTGGGCACTTCTATCATTTCCAAGGATGTAAACTTTATGCCAAAAAATCAGAAAGAATCTCCTTGGTGATTTCCAGGGGTTACTGGTAGGCCTGTTGAACTCTCAACTTCTGGGAGTGAATACTTGTTTGACCATCTGCTGTGGCAACCTCAGCAGAGGGACACCTGCCAAGGCCGCCCTCCAGGTCAGCGGCAGAGGATGAGACGCCATACTTCGCATCAGATTTTCAGTTGCCCCTGCGAGAGCTGCTAGCCCATCTCAACTTGGGCAACTGATGCTACTTCATCTCTCTCTGAGGAACTGTTCATTTTCTGACTTTTCCTTGCCACTGTCTTCTAGGACAATTCACCCTCTCACCTTGTTCCCTTGTTTGCATCTGCATAGTGGTCTCTACTCTTTAAAGTGCTGTTAGAGTATGTAAGTGTAGCTTTTAGCCAGATATGGGTTACTTTCCCCCTTTCTGGAGTCCAGGCCCTCAGAGGTGAGAGTGGACAACCTTACTCCTCAACGATGGGGAACTTTGGGAAGAAGTCATGGTCACCCACAATGCCTTCCTCATTACTTTGTCTTCCAGCTGCCCAAACTGGAACACCATAGACCCAGAGGAGAGGGAGAGGCTGACCAGACGCCATGAAGATGGGGAATTCTGGTAAGATTCGTGGAGGCTGTGGGGAAAGGTGTGCCTGCCATAATGTCCTTTCCTAGAAAATTGCTAATGGGATTGTCGGCCAGAAGGGAGTTTATCATGTTGAGGGCACTGGGGCATAGGATCTCAGTTTCGTTGTTGTTTTAAATTCACTATAAGACCTTGAATAAAAAAAATTCTTAAATTTTCAATTTGTCCATCTCAGCAAGGGGGTTTACAAGCTGAACAAGTTCACAAAAAGGCCAAGAGGTCTAGGCACAGTGGCTCATACCTGTAATCCCAGCACTTTGGGAGGCTGAGGTGGGAGGATTGCTTGAGCCCAGGAGTTCAAGACCAGCCTAGACAACAAAGTTAGACCTCATCTCTACAAAAAAAAAAAAAAAAACTAGCCTGGAGTGGTGGCACATGCCTGTAGTCCCAGCTACTTGGGAGGCTGAGGCAGAAGGACTGTCTGAACCCAAGGGGCTGAGACTGTGGTGAGCTGTGATCATGCCACTATACTCCAGCCTAGGTGACTGAGATCCCCCAACTCAAAAAAGGCCAAGAGAAATTCCTTGAGTAATGTTCAGATCCCAAGAAACAACAAGAGGAAGATGGCCCTTTGCCCCCACTGGAGACTCGTCCAAGTCCCTTAAAAAATCTTGGTTGCTTAATGAGCAGCAATGGACCCACACACCTGTGTCTCTGTGCTACTCTGAGGACCACCTACATGTAGACACAATATGCATTTTACCAAAAGAGCATCCGTATATTGTCCCATTTGATGTTCACCCCTCCCATTTTACAGGTGAGAATTTGGAACTTCAGAGAGGTTTAAGTAGCTTGCTCAAAGTCACTCAGCTAGAAAGTGGCAGTGCCAGGACAGGAATCTGGGCCTTTTCATTCTGGACCTAGTGCCCACCCACTCGACCCCAAGGAGCTGCTCTGCCTGGCCTTGACAGGCTCCTAGGCTGGCATTGGCGGAAGGTGTATCCTCTTATAACCTGGGGTGCCTGTGTCTCTGCTTTTGCCAGGATGTCTTTCAGAGACTTTCTCGGGCACTATTCCCGCCTGGAGATCTGCAACCTGACCCCGGACACCCTCACTAGTGATACCTACAAGAAATGGAAACTCACCAAGATGGATGGGAACTGGAGGCGGGGCTCCACTGCAGGAGGCTGCAGGAACTACCCAAGTAAGAGCTGCTGCCACAAGGGGCCGCCAAAGGCCAAGGCCCACCCCAATGTGCTATATTCCAGCCTGACAGCCCCGGGAAAGCACCTCTTACTCACTGGGATCTTCTGTCTTCCTTTTCTCTGAGCCTCTTTCTCTATTTTCTCATTCCCACTTCCTCCTGCCCTACCCAGGCAGAACCCACAACTTGCTATTTCTACAATGTCTTCTCTGGGCCCTAAATACTCTGGCGCTCACCATGACCTTCCACCATGCCCACGGAGAAGTGCTCAATCCCACTTGATACCTTTGAGCCACTTTATCTACCCCAAGCCCAGGCAGCCGAGCCTGCAGGGGAACCTCACCCCCCCCGTGCCCACTGCAGACTCCACATATCAGGCCCTGTTCCCCCCGCGCCACTCTCTTGTGTGCCCAGCAAATGTTGACTGAGCCCTGCTCAGACAGGAGTGAGGATTTCTCCTCTGGTTCAGTCTTTGTGGAACCCCATGGCTTTTCTGCCTTGATGACTCAGCCCATCAAAAACATCTCATCACGATGATATCTGCTAGTTCTGGAGCACACCTAGGGTACTGGGAACTGTCCTAAGTGCTTTGTATATAACTTGAGCATCCCTAATCCAAAGATCTGAAATTTGAAATGCTCCAAAATTTTCTGAGCCCCAACATGACTCCACAAGGGGAAAATTTCACACCTGACCTCGTGTGAGGGTTCACAATCAAATCACAGTTAGAGCTTTGTTTCATGCACAAAATCATGTAAAATATTGTATAAAATTACCATCAGGCTATGGATATAAGTTGTATATGAAACATAAATGAGTTTTTTGTGTCCCACCCCCAAGATATCTTATATATTTGCAAATATTCCAAAATCCAAAAAATCTTTTGAAATTTGAAAAAAATCTTTTGAAATTCTAGCCCCAAGAATCTCAGATGAGGGACACTGTATCAACCTGTATATTATTCCAGTTAATCTTCCCAACAAACTTCTAAGGTGGGCACTTTGTTATCACCTCCATCTTTAAATGAGGGCACTGAGGCTTGGAGAAATTTCGTGACTTGCTGGGGGCTACACAGCTTCTGGGATTTGAACCCAGGCAGTCTGAAGAATCACTCTTTAAGTGCTGCGGTGGCAAATCATGGCCATATGTTAACTCTTTGTCACAGATAAGGAAACTGAGGCTCTAAGTGGCATTCCAGAGCCACAGAGCAAGTAGTCACACTGGAACTAGCTGACCAGTACCTACAGCTCTGGTACTCTTATTCCTTCACCTCCAGTATGCAGCCACCAAGTGCCAGTTCCAGAGATCTGCCCCCTACAAAAATACCTCTCCTACCCACTAGAGCAGGGGTAGGCAAAGTCTCTCTAAAGGGCCAGATAGTAAAACTTTTGGCTTTGTGGGTCATTCAGTCTCTACAGCAACCACTCAGCTCTATTGCTGTAGCTCAAAGGTAGCCATACTTAACAGTGAATGTGGCCATGTTCTAATGACACTTTATTTACAAAATCAGGTGGCAGGATCATAGCTGCCAACCCCTACACAAGATGATGCCTTTAGTTATGCAACTAGAGTTTTATCCCATCAGGCATGGAAAGACGACTAGCATAATCACCCTTAAAAATGAGTGACTCTCTGATCCTTCCTATAAATGGGTTTGGGGAGTGAAGAGGGCAGAGACACCAGGGAGTGGGCCAGGGGACTCACTCTGGACTCACTGAGGGGGTAATGGCTGGCTAGTATATTTGGAGAAGGCACCCGAGTCCCCACAGACAGGCCAGCCAAGCCCCATTTCTGACATCCCCCCATTAGTGTCCAGGGAGGGGAAGGTGGCCATGAGGGCAAGCCACAGCTCTAACCACCCTGGCCTCCGAGGTGACAAAACAGTCTCCAAGACAAGACAAGCCAGCCTGAGGGCCAGAGAGAGAACTGCAAAGGAAAGTTTCTAATTTAGGTTGCTGTGAGATTCAGATAAGTGCAGGCCCTTGTCTCGCCACTGCCAACCATCAACCATCCCCACCCTGCAGGCCCTACCTGACCCTGGTTCCCCTGCTTCTGCCATCTCTCACCATCTCCCAGTGGCTCCCAGCATCTCCCATCATCCTCTGCCATTTCCTACCATCTCTCACCATCTCCCGCCATCTCCCACCATCTCCCGCCATCTCCTGCCATCTCCTACCACTTCCCATCATCTCCCCCCATCTGCCATTTCCCAGTCTCCCACCTTCTCCCATCACCTCCCACTATCTCCCATCGTCTCCTGCCATCTCCCACCATATCCTGCCATTTCCCACCATCTCCCACCGTCTCCCATCATCTCCCCTCATCTTCTTCTCTCTCCCAGCAGCCTCCAGCCCCAAGACCAGGGCCCCCCTGAGCTCTCCCCACCCCCATGCACACCTGCTCAGGGCTGGCCTTCTCTGTTCTTCTCTGGCTGCAGACACTTTCTGGATGAACCCTCAGTACCTGATCAAGCTGGAGGAGGAGGACGAGGACCAGGAGGATGGGGAGAGTGGCTGCACCTTCCTGGTGGGGCTCATTCAGAAGCACCGGCGGCGGCAGAGGAAGATGGGCGAGGACATGCACACCATTGGCTTTGGCATCTACGAGGTGGGACACAGCTCCCGCCCTCCTTCCCTCCTTTGCTTGTCTCAGCCCCTGCATGGAAGACTGACTCCAGAGGCAGAACAGGGACTGGGACCCTGGACAGGGAGCTTGGCCAAGGAGAAGCAAAGCCACAGGCCTGGTCAGGCTTAGGTGTAGTCCATACAGCGAGGCCCCTGTAGCGGATCTGGGTCACAGGGGCTTCCAAGCCCTTCACTGGGCCCCCACCCTCAAATGGCTACTGTGTCCCTTCTTATGTCCCCCAGGCCTGGCATTCTGGGTGCCCCGCCAATCTCCAAAGAACAGAACATACTGGACTACACTGGGAAATACTGTGGAGGCAGGACCGAGTCTGTGCATCCTGCTGGTCAGAGCTCGGCAAAGGCATTGGCCTGAATAGCAGAGAGCTTGGAGACAGGGGAATGACCAGTTGCTATGCTCTTCCAGGGCCCTGCTGGCTGGAGCCCAGATCCCCACACAGACACTCCTGCTGCCATGTGTCTCATTCTGGACCAAGTTAAAGAAAAGCCTTGCTCAGCCACAGCTGGAGGATAGCCGTGTGGCCTCCTCTCCTCCTTGAGGCTGCTGGGGCCAGGGCCCCGGACCTTCCTCACCCCTCCCTGCAGCACAGGAAAGAGCTTTTCACAGCCCAGGGTTAGCAGTGGGTGAAGAGAGGAGCAGGGAAGACTGAGGGCTGAGCTGCCATGGGGCTGCATTTTGGGTTGATGTGCCAGGCCGGCTCCTCCTGGCGCCCAACGTGAATACCCATCTCTTCCCTTAGCCCTGTGTTCAGTGTGGTCACATTGGCAGCCTGAAAATGGCCATGGGAGCATTTAGAACAAGCCTGGAAGATGGCAAATACTACAAATCAGGGCTTCCATCCTCCCTTGAGAGCCAATTTCCAAGCATGCCCCTGGGAGAACCCAAGTGAGGTGTGAGGGGAGATGCTCACTGTGGTCACTCATCACTGGCAACGTAGCCACCACCCATGGGACATTTATGCTTGTTCAGCCATCTGAGAAATGGAGCAAACGCCATCAGTGGTGAAAATGCTCATAAGCCCAAACCCTTTAGTCTCTGAATAAGGAGCTAAGGACTTCAGGTCTGAGACAAAATAGCTCCAGAAAAAACACAAACTGAATGGTGATATGCAGCTTCCCTGCTACCACCTCATGGGCACTTGATTGGCAAAGGCATAATCAACCTTTGGCAATTTAAGCAAAAAGAAATTCACTGAAAGGCCTTCAGAGACTTAGAAACCCAGTCATGAGCTTTCAGAATTGAGAAGGACTGTGATCATTTGGTCTTAACTTTCGAGATAAGGAAACTGAGGCTAGGGAAGGGGAAGTGACCTGCTCAGATTTGATGTGGCTGATAGAGGCCAGCAACTGCTGGCTTCCAGCCCCAGGTGGACCCCCAGCCCTCTCCCCGGATGGGAGGTGGGTATGGGCTTTGCTGCAGCCGGTGATCTTAGACAAATCACTTCACATCTCCATGCTGGGTTTTATGCTCTGTGGATTGGGAATGTTGGCAAAGGCTCATCCACGTGATTGCCATGTCATAAGAGGGTTTTTTCAGTGTGGAGATGCTTTGAGTTCCTTGGAAAGCCACTGCTCTATCGACTTAGCTGATATTGTTAATACGACAGAGAAAAGGAGGTGGCAAAAGAGATCAGAGTGATGGCATTTTTGTACTCTGCTATCCCAGAATCTGAATTGTGTCTCCTTTATTTTGCAGGTTCCAGAAGAGGTACGTCTGGCACGCATTGGTCCCTGCCCCTGGGGCCCAGGTCTGTCAACACATGAGAGGCTTTTACTGCTGGAGCTCAGGGAGTGTCGTGAAGAATGGACAGGGGCTGGTGGCTAGGCCCGCCCCCTCCAGGGCTGCTGACATTGCTCAGATTCTAGATCCCACTGATCTAAGCTCAGGAAAAGACATCCCAGGACGTCCCTGGGGGTTGCTTTCTCCCTGTGACCCTGCAGAGCCTGTGCAGGGTTTGGTTCCGGGCAGACCACCCACGGTCCTAGATGACAGGAGACTCTTCACAGAGCCCTGTGCCCTCTTAGAACAAGCCTGAATCGGAGAAAAGATGAGCCCTGCAGATTGTACTGTAAGACAACGTGGGGCACAGAGAAAGCCCAGGACCGTAATCCCAGGCTGTGTGGCCTTGGATAAGTGCCATATCCTCTCTGGACTTCAGTTTGTTTTTCAGTAAAGCTGGCCAACCATCCACCTGACTGGACCACTGTGGGATGAGTTTGATTATGTGAGAGTGCTTGGGCCCACAATTAGCATTCACCAAATCAGCTGGGTTGGGCAGTGGTTGTGTGACTTCAGAGGTCACAGTTATTAGTGTAGACACACAGGGCACCCTGACCCATCCGCAGTACATTTCTTTCATAGCAAGGCAGGGCAGTCGGCAGCTTGCTGGGCTTTCTTGGTTATGAGTTCTGGCCCCAGCCTTGGCCCACCAAGCTGCACTTAAGTTTAGAAGCTGGGCTCCCTTCTCTGCCCCAGTCCTGTCTTTGTTTTTATTAGCGTGTCACACACCACCTAGAGCCAAAAGGGATTCCTGCCAGGTGGCCTCAAAGCCCTCCAAGAGTCACTTAGACGAAAGCTGAGGAATTCCTTGTGGAAAGATGGCACAGCTCTGCAAGCAGAGCTGAGTGGATACGAAACGCCCCAGTGCTGAGTTTCTCGGTGGGCATTTGTGGAGTTTGGTAGACAGTTTTCTTTGTATCTAAAATGACTCAGACATTGTCACTGTCATTCTTTTATCTCAATGAGTGAAAATGAAAATCTACTTGGAGCCTCCCTGCTCCTCTACTCCCGCGTATTCCTCTATGTGTTCCTCAGTTAACGGGACAGACCAACATCCACCTCAGCAAGAAGTTCTTCCTGACGACCCGGGCGAGGGAGCGGTCTGATACCTTCATCAACCTCCGGGAAGTGCTCAACCGCTTCAAGCTGCCTCCCGGGGAGTACATCCTGGTGCCTTCTACCTTTGAGCCCAACAAGGATGGGGACTTTTGCGTCCGGGTCTTCTCCGAAAAGAAAGCTGACTACCAGTAGGTTATTTAGTCACTTCTTTCTCTCCACCCCGACCTGCCCTCCTGGCTCCCGGTCAGCTCTTGGCCTCTAGAGAGCTCTTTAGTCTCTGAAGGTCAGTTTCTTTGTCCATAACACCTGCTTGCCTTGAAGGGTTAGTGTGGCGACTTGATGGTATTGAAGAATGTTTCATGTTATATTCAGCTAAACAAAAAAGAAAGGCCCTCAGGTATTTTTGGCAGAAAGCGGGTGGTGGTAGAGTGAATTGCAGAAACCAGTTTCACAGTGGTGTCTCTGAACTATCAATCTTTCTCTTTCCTTTAATGACCTATGTTAAACTATCTATGAACCCATCCCATCATTTGGAGAAAGTTGGGCAGTGCTGGTGTCATCCTTGCTTTCTAGGCCACCAGCCTAGGAGAGCCACCAAGGGTGTAAGTGACAATCTCCACGGTCCCTGTCTCTACAACCTCTCCCTGTAATGGTCATCAGGTCCCCAGGTCCCTCCCCTCTTCCTCATTGGATTCTAGCCGTCTGGGAACCCCTTTTAGCTGACATCACCATTTCCTGCCACGGTCCAGGTAGCCTCAATTCACAATGGCTTCTGCCACTTCGGCTGCTGCCTCAAGTATGTATATTTGGTCAGGCCCTTGACTGGTGAAGTCAGAATCAACCTTGGGCAATTTAAGCAAAAAGAAATTCATTAAAAGATCATCGGAGACTCCAGGGCTGAGGGGAGGCTGGAGGACAGGCTGGGAAGAGCAGGACCCAAGGTTGTGCTGGAGGACCAGGGTTTGGGGTGACCCCTCTGCCCTTGACCCATGTGCTCAGGTCCAGAGATCACAGAGTGTGTATGAGGGCCTGGTTCAGGTCAGCCACCTAGTCTGCTGGATCCCATAGAGGAAGAGGCCATGGGAGGTAGAGGCAGGGAATTGCCCTTGCCCCAAGACAATATGTGACAGAGAGAGGATTTCAACAGAGAGAATTTCCCATGGGGAAGGGAGAGAAAACAATGCCGGGCAGCTACAAACCAATAATGCTACTGACAGACTCTCTTTTTGCTAAAACTTACCACGGGGAAGAGGCCTTTCCTTTCCGCTCTTAGGACCCTCAGAGGAAACCTAGTGTGTGCAGCTTAGTCCTAAAAAAAGAAACAGGAACATAACCTGGCAACATCAGAATGCCACTGACCTTTGTCAAATCTAGCACTCTCCCTCCCTATCAGCCACAAACTGCTATCTCAAGGTGTCCCAAGTTCCCTCAACTCTCTCCAGGGTGAGCCCCCTTTCCCGACAGGACACCCCACCCCTCAGAGGTGTCTGACTTTTTTGTCCCAGGATAGTAATCCTTCTGTTCCAGGTTCCAGTGATCAACATCACTGGAAGAAGTCCCCTTGTGCATTCTTCTATGAGGCATTGGCCCTGCAGATAGGACTGTTAGTAGCCTAGCTTAAGATCACAGGGGCCTAAGGAAGACCTTCCTAAGCTCACTTACCCTTACTGTGGAGCAGAAGGGCCTGGCCCTACACAGGATACCTCACCACTGCCTGAGCTTTGTTGGAACTATACACAGACCTCCGCACTGCCCACCTCTCCATCTGGAGCAGAATAAGTAGCAGATGGTTTACACTGCAGGATCCTCAGGGTGAAAGTCTTACGATTGCAAAGGGTGTTTCAAATGGAACTTAAACGCTGTTCCTTAAGACCTGAGACTGAGTGAGGTGTCTGGAGTACCAGCAGCACACTACATGGGAAGATTGTGCTATTTGATAAAGACCAAAAACTAGCTAACAAAACTCTCCAACTGCCCAAGTTGTTTTAGTCATGACACTTCCCTCAGATCATTTCTGCCTTTTGAATATATATATTTTTTTAGTTAGTGTTTCACCGCTGCCTAGGCTGGAATACAGTGTCACCATCACGGTTTACCACAGCTTCGACCTCTTGGGCTCAAGAGGTCCTTCTGGCTCAGCCTCCCTAGTAGCTGTGACTACAGGCACGTACCAACACACCAGCTAATTTTTTTTTTTTGTAGAGATGATATCCTACTACATTGCCCAGGCTGGTCTCAAACTCCTGGGCTCAAACAATCCTCCTGCCTCAGCCGCCCAAAGTGCTGGGATTACAGGCATGAACCAACATGCCTGGCCCATTTCTGCTTTTATTTTTGCTATTTGGGGAATGTGTATCGCGGAAACTTGGGATGCAAAAAAACCTGCCCTACCCACCCATTACTGGATTCAGCGCTGCATTTCTGCTTTAGCTGGGATTTCTGCAACACTTCCATTTAGCCTCACCTGTCTTTCAGTAACACATAATTTCCTTCTATTTCCAGAGCTGTCGATGATGAAATTGAGGCCAACCTTGAAGAGGTACTTGTCACTCTTTGAATTCCACCCATTCTGTCCTAGACAACCCAGACAACAGAGGAGTAAAGTAATTCCAAGAGTTTAGGAGGCCCCTTGGACTTCACGAACACAGCCTGAAACAAAGGACGCAGCTCTGCATAGGGATCCAAGAGTCTGCTTCCTGCACCAGCTGTACAGGGGCCAAGGCCAGTCCCTTGCCCACTGGGCTATGTTCACTAGTCACTGTCAAAATCCATCCAGAACATTCCAGCTAGCCTTTATTCTTCCCTATTAGAATAGATCATAAAAGGCCATTCTGGCTGAATGCTAGAAAAGATACTTATGTGGGAAACTAGACTATAACTCCTCACATAACTTGTGCATTTTAATTCTTCACACGGTATTTTATCTCAATCCTAATAACTTCAGAATTCAGGCCCAAGTGAGAGGTAGAGAAAGAAGCTCTGCAGGGACACAAAGGCCGTCATGGAAGGGAGGGCAGGTGCCTGCTACCTTTCCTTACATCCTAATTTCCCGGCTTCACCTTCCAGATTGACATCAGCGAGGATGACATCGATGATGGATTCAGGAGGCTGTTCACCCAGTTGGCAGGGGAGGTAGGTGTTCCCCAAAACTATGTTATGCCCTCTGGCTGATACAAAGGAAAAGGCAGTTCCTGACCTCAAGGAGACGTTAGTTTAAAGTGGAGAGGAAAGAAACTGAACAGAAAGGGAAGAGGCGTTGCAAACGTAATGGGGATTTCAGCTCTAGCCTCTCACCCACATCCTCCCCAAGACCTGTGCATGCTGCCAGAGGCCTCCGTTTTTCTGGCCAGCTCTGGCTCTCTCTTCCTCCTCCCTTAGAATTCCTGGGCTCACCATGTGGCTGTTTTATTTTCTCTTTCACACCAGTTGAAGCATTTGAAACTCGGCCCTTGTCCTTGACTTCCACAAAAATATTTGGGAAGCTGGAAGGGTCTCAAATCTCAAGGACAGGCAGCTTACAACAGAGACTTCCCGGTTCTTAAAAAAAAAAATCCTTCAGCCCATGACAAAGGTGTTCAACCCTCTTTCTTCCCAACAATTTCAAAAATAAAAAGTCTTTCTTCTCCATGTGGAGAAATTTCTTGTTCCTTGGTATCTGTCAGTTATCTGGGCCTCCCTTCCTTTAGCCAAAAGCTCATCAAAGTGCTCCTCACCTCACCTGTCTCTCCCTCGTCACTCCCAGATTCCCAAGGGAAGGGGATATTAGAGTCTTCTTCCCCCACTGATTAAGTCACACACTTTCACACCCCTAAAAGGCAAAAATACCTACAATTTTGGTTTTAAATGGACTTGGCCCTCAGCTGCATAAGTATTTGTAGGTGACTAGAGGCACCTGAGCCAGCCTGAGGAGCCCTGTGTCCTGGGCCTTAAAGAGGGCTGGGCTAGTTCTTGGAAACAGCTGGCTTAACCAGTTTTACAAGAAACCTGAGATCTGAGTTTTCAAGGATAAAGGAGCATGTTGGCTAGGAGAAATGGTATATGAAGACTAAGTCAAGAATGACCACAAGCATGGGTAGAGTGAAGTAGTTCTTATTCTCTCAAGCCAAGAAATGGTGAATGAAGTCCACCTAGAGCGTCCAAGCAATAAGACGGTGAACCTAAAGCCCAGGCTGGGGCACTGAGAATCAAAGTGTGGTCTGGGGACAACTAGCGCCAGCATCTCCTGGGGGCTTGTTAGAAAAGCACGTTCACTGACCCCACCCCAGACCTCCCTGCCTCATCCAGCTCCCACAGGAAACCAATCACAGTGCTCTGCTTGCATGTCCACAGGATGCAGAGATTTCTGCCTTTGAGTTGCAGACCATCCTGAGAAGAGTTCTGGCAAAGCGTGAGTGTCCCCTCTTTGTATACCCCTCATCCTGCTCTTTCCTGTGGGAGGAAAGGAACATGGAAATGCTTCCCCTTCCACGTACTGCTGCTGTGGCCAAACCATCGCTCCCCACTCCTGTGTAAATACTGCCACCACCCCCACCCCTAAGAAGTGAACGAAGGAGGATTCTGTGTGATGTGATAAGAAAGAAAGGTTTCCAGGGTCCAGAGATCAAAGATCAAGTGCAGATTTCCACTACTTACTAGCTTTGTGATCCAAACCAAGTTATAGCCTCTCCAACTCATGTCCATATCTGCGAAACAGGCATATTACTACTTACTTCATAAGAGTGGTTGAACATCTTAAATGAGTTAATAGTAGAAACTGCCTACCCTAAAAAACCTGCACTCCATAAATGTCAGCTGTTAGGATGCCTGATTGGTAAGGAAAAACTGAGTCGGCCCAAATCACGGGAGTCAGAAAGCCATCCTGAATTCCCTGGCTATGTCTAGTGGAGAATCAGTAATAGAGTGGCCACATTACATTGATTAGCTAGAATGGAAAAAATAAATGGACCATGTAATGTTCAAACTAAAGGAAAGGGACTACAAAGTCTCACTGCCTACTGTGTGTTTCTTTTTTTTTTTTTTTTTTTTTGAGTTGGAGTCTTACTCTGTCGCCCAGACTGGAGTGCGGTGGCCGCTCCCGGCCACCACAGCCTCGACCTGCTGGGCTCCGGCGATCCTTCCACCTCAACAGCTGGAACTATAGGCGCGCGCTACCACGCCCGGCTAATTTTTTGATTTATTGTAGAGATGAGGTCTCACCAAGTTGCCCAGGCGGGTCTCAAACCCGCAGGCTCAGGCAATCCACTCACCTCAGCCTCCCAAAGCGTGGGATTACAGGCTGAGCCACCGAGCCCTGTGTGTTTCAATAAGCCTCATCTGACCAGTTCTTTCCTGGGAGAAATGTCACTTCATTTGAACCCACAGACCAAGCAAGTGACTTCATAGCTCCAGAAGTGGCTGCTCTCAGCCTAAGCTGCAGGGCTTGCAGAAAGAGTGAATAGAGCTGGATAGAGACTCAAGTGTGAGCCAGAGCCATGATTTTCACAAACCTTTTATTCTTGTAACTAAATCTTAAGTAAAACATACCATCGGATTGATTGTCCAACCCTCTACTATTGAGCACCACTGGGGAGGAGGGGGAAATACCACACACACAAGGTTTTTTTCCCCTCAAATTATCAAATGAATCATGCCGCTTTGGATATGATAGCAATCAGCAATGCAGTAAACAGTCTTATACGTCAAAAGTTATAAATTGTGCTTGCTTTGGCAACACACATACTCAAACTAGAACGATACAGAGAAGATTAGTATGGTCCCTGCGCAAGAATGACATGCAAATTCATGAAGTGTTCCATATTTTTAAAAAAGTTATCTGCATCAGAAACACACGCATATGTGGTCACATGGGGCACGTCAGCAGGGGATTATCTCGAGAAGTCTCCTGGACTTCAAGGGACGTCATTCGCTCTGACAGCAGACAAGATAGCCTAACGGTATGAAATAAAAGTAAATCCTCCTTCAGAGCCAAAGAAGAGGCCAGGCCAGCTGGGTCTTCCATTTCAGTATATGTAAACACCATGAGCCTCACAGAAACCACAAATAGCTGGTCACTGTCCTGTGGCCACTGAACAGATGGCTGTATTAGAGCTGAGATTCACAAGGCTCTCAACCAGGACACAGCCAGTCCAGTGCAAGGCCTCCCTGGGGCTGGCCCCCATCTGCACCCTCCCTCTTCTAATTTTCAGGGAAGACAAGAAGATTGTGTTTACCCTTGAGGCCACCAGGCACAAGTGAGGTCACAGAGCCCTTCAGATGGGCAGTCTTCATGAGCCTGAGGAGACTGAAGCCTCATTGTTTCTGCACAGATGGAGGGTGGGGGTAGGAGGTGGGGAAGAATCGGGCCATGCTTGGATTCTGCCTGCTCCTTGCTGGGGGAGCAGCATTTGCTTCACACGTGCCTCTGAGCTCAGTCCCCGCCCCTGGCTGCTGTTGGGGACTCCAGCCCTCTGCCCAGGGGCCCCACATGCAGACTCCAGGTTTAGCCTCTTGCCCATCCCTAAGAGGGGGCTGGTGCCCAGAGTGGCAGCTTTGAGATGGGTTTACCAGGACATGACAAAATGTCTGGCTCCTCACGAAGTCCATGGGGAGCCAGGCTCACATTTGTGACACGGGTCTCATCCCACCTGCCGGCCACCACCCAAATAGGACACACCTCACAGTACACAGTAGTTTATGGATAGATTCTAGGTCCTCAGGCTTCTCGATCAGCTGAGGGCTCAGACACTCCATGAATGTCTATAGATGGACAGTTCAAGTAAACCTCTTCCTCTCACAAGTCGCAGCCTTCAATGAACACACCTGCTCTGTTTTCTTTCCCTGTCCAACAACCACAGGTGACTTTATACCCCATGAGCATGTAAAGGCCCAGCCATTTATCATTATTTATCTATTTAAAAAGCACTTTTTAAACCCATTTGCCCATGGCAAATATACAGAGAAGTCAGGCAAATGTAAACACATCCTCTGCCCTGTGGCAACACATTCTCCCCCATTTGAATTGTGCCTGATTTGCTGAGTTGTGGGACTGTCAGCCACACTGACCTCTCTTACTAGAGACGAGAGTCCCCAGAGGAGGGAAAGCAAAATGCCACATCCCCGACCTCTATTCCAATAGACTCAGAATGCAGGTCTGCCAGCTGCTTCCTGGGCTGGCACGGGAAATTCCTGACAATACGTCCACCATTCTCTGCCCGAGGCAGCTTGAATTTGTTTCCTGACTGACAGTGTTTCCATTACTTCCCTTAGGAAGATATTCCCTAAGGCACAGTATTTCTGATGTGAATCTGTTTTCTTTGGTCAATTTTCTCCTTGATGACATGTGCCTATTAAATGGCTGCTGTATTTGGAGAGTTAAGAATATTTCCATCATTGTAGAAAGTTTTCTTTTTCTTTTTTGAGACAGGGTCTCACTCTCTTGCCCAGGCTGGAATACAGTTCTGTGATCATAGCTCCCTGCAGCCTCAAACTCCTGGGCTCAAGTGATCCTCCAGCCTCAGTCTCCCAAATAGCTGGGACTACAGGCACACACCACCATGCCTGGCTAATCACTGTAGAAAGTTCTGTTGGACAGGGCTGCTCGGTGATAAGAAGATTTTCTTCAGACACTTATTTTGTCTTTTAGGCCAAGACATCAAGTCAGATGGCTTCAGCATTGAGACCTGCAAAATCATGGTTGACATGCTGGATGTATCCTTTAATGTGCTCCAAGGAACAGAGACTGGAGTGGGGAGTCGAAATCTCACTCTGGAAAGATTCAAGTACATTCTCCCCCATTTGAATTGTGCCTGATTTGCTGAGCTGTGAGACTGTCGGCCACGCTGACCTCCCTTACTAGGGATGAAAGTCCCGAGAGAAGGGAAAGCAAAACGCCACATCCCCGACCTCTATTCGAATAGACTCAGAATGCAGGTCTGCCAGCTGGTTCCTGGACTGGTGCAGGAAATTCCTGACAATATGCCCACCATTCTCTGCCCAAGGCAGCTTGAATTTGTTTGCTGACTGACAGTGTTTCCATTACTTCCCTTAGGAAGATATTCCCTAAGGCACAGTATTTCTGATGTGAATCTGTTTTCTTTGGTCAATTTTCTCCTTGATTTGTAGATAAGTGCCCACTGCCACAGGCATTCTCCTTCCCTTTGCTCTAGCTCCATCCCAAGCCACCCACCTGTCCCCAAGGCAAACTAGGCATCTCTGTTCCCCCTTGTTTCTGATGCTTAATGAGAAGTGGTAGAAAGGGACAGTCTAAGCTTCTGTGAGGTTTTATCTAGTAGACTCACAGGGTGGGTGCACCTTTTTTGCTCCCTTTTGCAAAAGGCCTCTTAGAAATACTCCAAACACTCCAGAAGACAGCACGCTTTTAGAAGTGTGAAGCCCTCTGTATATCATCGTCCAATGGCTCATTTTTAGCTGAATCTGGGGACCCCCAGATCTAAACAGCAACCAGAGTCAGCGAAGAGACAGCAGGTCTCTATCTTACCGTTCCCGACCCTTGCAATGGAGGTTTGGCCAGTGGGAAAGCAGGAAAGTGTCCCTCTGTAGGCCCCTCCTTGTCATGAGAGCACAAGCCAGGGTCGCCGTGCCCAAGAGAACCCCACTCATGGGTTTTCCTTGACTGAAGGCAGTCGGATGGGAGTGGCAAGCTGGGGCTGAAGGAGTTCTACATTCTCTGGACAAAGATTCAGAAATACCAGGTCAGAACGCTGGAGAGCCCAGTGGGAGGGACACATGGGTCTGTGTCAGGAACATTCTGCACATAGACTTCAAGATGCAGCAACTCCTCAGCAGGGTAGAGGAACATTCCGGAAGGATTGGGATTTTAACCATAATAGAGCTCAGAATGAGTAAAGAGAAGACTGGGCAAATGCAAACCAACCAACAACAACAACAACAAAAAAAAGGACTTTGCAAGTTAAGTGGCCTGTTCCCTGCCTTCCCCTGATTATCGGGGTCACATAAAGCCATCAAGGGTTACATGGGCCCAGGGTAGCTGGCTAGCTGATCTGATGGGCATATTTACAAACCAGCTCAAAGAGAGAGGCAAAATACCAGTAGCTACTCAAGGCAGAAACACGGGCGATTCTTCCAAGGCCAAAATGAAGGTAGGGAGCTGGGAAATTTCACTGCTCCACACCCCAGCACATGCCACAGAGGTAACCTGCCATCTGTTTTGCTTTGGGTATGGTTTTTATACCTACTTTGCATGTTCCAGAAAATTTACCGGGAAATCGACGTTGACAGGTCTGGTACCATGAATTCCTATGAAATGCGGAAAGCATTAGAAGAAGCAGGTAATCCTTCATAACCGTATTTTCTTTCCTGTGTGTGATCTATCTGTAGAATATGTGAGCACTTATTCTACAGCATAGAATACAAAGTTGAGTGAAGCTGTAAAATAAAATAGGTGCTGGTTTAATACAAACACCTCCTTTTTATTCCCCTTTCAAGGACTAATCGGTAAGATTAAATGCAGTCCAGGAGGCTCTGCCCTCTGTGCCTTCTTGAATCCAGGTTCCCTTCGGAGCAGCCTGGCAGGACAGGCAGGCAGAGCCAGTTCTCAGCAGACCTGCTCCAAGCCCCTCCTTTCTGATGTAGGGCTGGTTAGGCAGAAATGCAAGGGCTCAGCTCAACCCTTAGGAAGTTCCTAGCAGAATTATATACCAATATAAAGGAAACAAGTGCATGGAAAGCCCACAGAGTGGGAGACTGGTATGCTTTGAGAACAAATATGACAACATAAGGTTGTTCATCCTAGTAGCTGGGATATAGTGCTGTAGCAGAGACCCCAAACAGCAGTGGCTTACACAAGGGACATTCTTCTCTCATAGCAGTCCCAGCTCAGCAGCCCAAGGCTGAGACAGTGCCTCCTACTGTCAGGGCTGCAGATTCCTCTATCTTGTTGCCTCGCCAGCCCTTAGAGGGTTGCCCTCACCCAGGGGGCCTAGGACAGCTTGCCACCACACACACATGCCACCAACAGGTTGACAGAAGAGCACACAGGTCACTTTTGCTCACACATCCTTCTGGCCAGACCTTGGTCACAGGCCTCAGATGCCTGCAAAGGAAGCTGAGAAACAAGGCCTTGATGCTGGGCCACCATGAGCCTATTAAAAATTACTTTACTGTGCAGAGAATTAATATTAGTTTACTACTAACAGTTTCTGCCACGTATATCCAGGAAGAATGTGGGCTCCAAGATGATTCAGAGCTAAACAAAGCAAGCCTGGTTATAGGAGCAGGCAGGAAAAATCTTATGTGTTAGTCAACAAGGAAATAGGCAGGGTAAAGGTGGACAATTTGGAAACAAAAGCAACAGTGGAAGATACTGGCTTTGCAAAACTAAACCAGTCTCATAGTAGCATGGCCAACAGACAAAAGCCATTATAGTTGCAATTTAAGTCACCACATTAGTTCTATAATCTGTGAACAGAGCTAAAAGGTACAGTCTATCTAATACTTGGCCATCAGTTTGCTTGTTCATTTAACTTCAGGGTTCAAGCTACCCTGTGAACTCCACCAAGTCATCGTGGCTCGGTTTGCAGATGACCAGCTCATCATCGATTTTGATAATTTTGTTCGGTGTTTGGTTCGACTGGAAACGCTATTCAGTAAGTGGATATTTGGGGAAAGATCCATATCAGTTTTCTGAGCATTAAAGCAGCCTGTCTTTCATCCCAGGCAAAATCACCTGAACATGTCTGGCCAGGAACTGAGAATAAAATGCCCTCCTCACTAACTTGAGGGAAGGGAGAAAGAAATAGCGTGTGACATTCAATGAAATTGGCTGCCATTTGGGAAGAGGATAATGTGGTCTCTGTTTCAGCTCACTCATTTGTGACATCCTCTTTTTCTCCTACAGAGATATTTAAGCAGCTAGATCCCGAGGATACTGGAACGATAGAGCTCGACCTTATCTCTGTAAGTCAGCAGCTTATGCCAACTACCTCCCTACTAAGGGGTTACGGGACAGCAGTGGGCGGAAGGGGCTGTTACTTGAGTGACCTGCTTTTTAAAGTTTCCCTTTTAAAATCTTTTGGTCTGTCAGGAACAGGCTTGTAAATGGTTATAAGATCCCACAATGCACTTTTATTTGTGGTTGTTTCCCAACAACCTATTGATTCTCAAGTCTAAAAAACGCTCCTGGCTCCCTCTTCCTAGGAGTTTTGACTTGAGTGTGGCGCAAGGTTAACCAAAGAAGAGGGTGGCTACAGGATGGCACTTGGAAAAATGAACTGCTGATTAATATGCATGGGAGAAGGTGCTTATATAAAGAAATGCTTTGGGTCAAATTCAAGTTGTGTTTGGGGAAGATCTGTCATTCTTAGAACAGATCTACTTTAAAAAGTTTCTGAGCAAATTACTTTTTTCTACTTACTCCCCATTTAAAATAAAATACCGCCGGGCTCGGTGGCTCAGTTTGTAATCCCGCGCCTTTGGGAGGCTGAGGTGAGTGGATT